TTATTATTATTATTATTATTAAATATCTGGGGCTCATAGACACAAACAGTGAAGCCTGGGCTTAAGCCTGGTGAGATTTGTACCACGTAACTGTACAGGTTGCAACATGATGACTTCTTTGTTACATAGGAGAAAACTACAAGTTGTCAGTTAAGCTGCTATCAGTTTGATACCCCTGCAAAGGGTAATGGTTTTGGACATAAGGGTTTCCTGTCCTACCTTGGTAAGGCACTGCATCGATCTGATGACACAGAAGTCCCATCTCTGGTCTGGCAAAATATCTGTCTGTGCTGTACAGCCAGTCGTGGTCCAATGCAAGGCCCATTACACTATGAACACAAAAATCACTGGAGTGAGGTAAAAGGCAGGACGTGTTCCCCTTTTAAAAGGCTGCTGCTGAAATAAAGTGCATTGTTGCTGTGCACTGACAGCTGAGATTTTAAGCACTTCATGCAGTGCTGCAGAATTTTAAGGCTGGGCCCATAGTAATTTTCTGCCACACTCCCCTCTCCTCCAGCAGCACGAAAACTGCATTTCTTCTATATTTGCCCTATAGACACATTACATCTCCTCTTCAATGGTTCAATCTTATATACATCTGTTAATGCAAAACGCTCTCATGTCATTAACCAACAGCCTATGATCCATACAGAAAATCTTAATATATTTCTTTTATTATGCATTTTCCAATTTGTACTACTGTAATTTATAGGCAAACAGTTAATAAGCAAGAATGCATTGAACCAGGAACATATGTCACTCCATTTAATAATTGAAAAGCAGTGAAGAACACAACAGATCTGCAAGCTTGCTCCAATCCTGAAGTTATTCTAACCCATTCAATGGTTATTTTTTTCATAGAATAATAGAATGGTTTGGGTTGGAAGGGATCTTAAAAGATCATCTAGGTCCAACCCTCCTGCATAGGCAGGGACACCTTCCACTAGCTGAGGTTATTCAAAGCCTCATCCAACCTGTTAAACTCTTCTAATCCTCTCCTTCAATTAAATAATAATTAGCTATAGGTGTGAAGCAAGTGCTTGTGTTCTTTTAAAATGTTATTTTAAAATAGTTTGTTTTTATAAATATCTGGAAATTGTACTCAAGAACAGGCTGAGGGTTGAAGAAAGAGACCTTAGTGTGAAGAAGGAATTCTTGCCATGAGAGTACTGCTGACCGGTCCTTCTGCTTCCTGAACTCCTACATCAATAGGAGACATATTTCCCTTCACCATCCACTGCTCACATAATGCTGCCTTCCTGCTATTTCTTCCCTCCCTGATGACAGGTAGAGAGAAGCAGTGACCACCAGATTTCCAGTTGCTCCCAGTCAACCCCCTTGTCAAGCAAGGTGGAAGGAAATGTTGTTTATTGGACTATGTGGAGCACTTCTGCCATGTCTGCAGGGGCTAGCATCACCAGCAAGCCTGAATCACTGGTTTTAAAATACCGTGGGATTACATAGTGGAGATAAAAATATCAGTGACATTAAATGAAGGAAAGGAATTCATTCTAGAGGTGGGAGTACAGTAGGTAGTTTATTTTCCCTGTGAATTGGAAAAGTTGGTTTCTACACTGGGGTGACAGAAACCTGATGGCCCATGTTACTACCAAGAAGGCCACTGATCCACTCAGCCAGTGATATGTTCCTAACTTTAATAAGAGAAGAGAAGAGTAGGTACTGAGATGAATAGAATTATGTGGGACTTGATTTTTATGTTTTGAGCTAGGAAGAAAAAAATATATATTATAATGCACAGAGGTTAGGTCTAACAAATGAGTTCAGACCTCTTTGATTGTCTCAGCTGAGTGTGAGATCATGGGAAACAAAATAGTCCATAATGATCTATAAAATAAGGATGAAGTAATTGGCTTCTTGCAAGGATAATCCAGTCCTGTCCTGGAATTCCACAGGCAGTGAAATTTGCTTCTTTCATTGGGAGAAAAATACACCGGATAGGTGTGTGGCTCAGAGGCTGGTGCCACCACCAGTATTTGTGATTCTTTGATCACAGGGAAGTCTGTATGACACTGGGTCTGCTGGTGGCAGATGGAGTACATCTGTCTCAAAGGGAGAAAGGATCCTTGTGCACAAATTGGTGGAGCTCATTGAAAGGGCTTTAAACAGTGTTTGAACAGGGAAAGGGATAAAATCAGGCTCACTAGAGATAAGCCTAAGAGGTTGCCTCCAGTTGCCTCTTGAGGTGGGTGATGGTGACACGTGGCAACAAAAGCACAGGGCTCACTAACAGGTCAGTAACCATGGGAGTGGCTAAGAATGGCCAGACAGCAATTAGGACTTCTCTCCCCAGAACAGTGGCAGGATCATTAGCCCAGCTGAAGTGCATCTACACCAATGAACACAGCATGGGCAATAAACAGGAGGAGCTGGAGGCCATTGTGCAGCAGGACAGCTATGACATAGCTGCTGTCACAGAAACGTGGTGGGATGGTTGTCATGACTGGAGTATTGCAGTGAGTGGCTGTAAGGTCTTCAGAAGGGATAGGCAGGGAAGAAGAGGTGGTGAATTGGCACTACATGTTAGGGAGTACTTTAATTGCACAGAACTTGAAAAATGTGATGGTAAGGTTGAATGCTTATGAGTAGGGATTAGGGGAAGGCCAATATGCAGACATCCTGCTGGGAGCAGGTTACAGACCATCCAACCAGGATGAGGATGCTGATGAGCCATTCTTCAGGTTGTTGGCAGAAGTCTTCACGTTGCCAGCCCTTGCTCTCTGGGGTACTTAAATTTACCAGATGTCTGCTGGAAATACAACACAGCAGAGAAGAAACAGTCTAAGAGGTTCTTGGAATGTGTGAAAGAAAACTTCCTGACACAGCTTGTAAATAAGCTGTGCCTTGCTAGGTGCCTTCCTAGGGGCAGGGGAGGTGCCTCGCTAGACCTACTGTTTACAAATGGGGAAGGACTGGTGAGTGATGTGGTGGTTGGAGGCTGTCTTGGGCTTAGTGACCATGAAACGAGAGAGTTCGCAATTCTTGGTGAAGTAAGGAGGGGTGTCAGTAAAAATGCTACCATGGTCTTCTGGAGGGCGAGCTTCAGACTGTTCAGGACAGTAGTTAGTAGTGTCCCTTGGGAGACAGTCCTGAAGGGCAAAGAAGCCCAGGAAGGCTGGATGTTCTTCAAGAAGAAAAGACTTAGAGGTGCAGGGGCAGACTGTCCCCATGCATCATAAAACAAGCTGTTGGGGAAGATGACCAGCATGGCTGAACTGGGAGCTCTTGCAAGGGCTCAGGAAAAAAAGGAGAATCTACCACCTTTGGAAAAAGGAGCAGGCAACTCCAGAAGAGTACAGAGATCTAACCAGGTCATGCAGAGAGAACATCAGAAAGGCAAAAGCACAGCTAGAACTCAACCTGACCACTGCTGCGACGGCTAACAAAACAGGTTTTTACAAATACATTACAATTAAAAGATATTAAAGGGTGTCCTGGTTTGAGCCAGGATGAAGCCAATTTTTCTTTTTACTGATTTTTTTTTTCCTTCAGTAGGCTTTCTTGTAGCTAGCAACAGTGTGTTCTGCTAGGCTGATAAGACAGTGGAATGTTTTTCTAACTACTGAGGCTTCAAGGCTGCACCTGCACTCTGCC